TATTTATATTTAATATATAAAAGGTAATTTACTAAAAGGGACTTTTAAATATAGTATATAGCTATTAGAATTATTAAGAAATGTTAATATATAAGAAAAGCTTAATCTAAAGAAAGTTTTATAATAATATATATATTAATATAATTAAAGCTAAGAGAAAGGTTTGGGGCAATTAGAAGGTAGTAGCGGAGTTAAGTTTATAAGTTAGTTATAAGGTTAGAAAATACACTTCGGTTTTAACACAATGGCGATAGATCTCTACCGTAAGCTTAACCAAGCCTCTAGTTGCTAATCTTGCCACTCAATATTACGAAGTCACATCCGAAAGTCCTTTGGGCAAAGCCCATAAGCCGCACGGTTTGTCAGCCGGTTTTCGTCAGCATTTTACATCTGAACCAATTAGATCTTTTGTAGCCAACCAATTTTTAAGCATATCAAATTTACTCATCGCTCCTGTAGGATTGTCAGCGAATAGTTGCAGGGATCAAGACCCACCTCCCCAAAGGAGCATCCGGAGCTTGAACACCATAGCGGGACCTATGTCATCGCCTGCAATGCTATGCAGTGAGATGATATATTGGCTTCGGTATAAAGAGGGGGAGCGATGCATGATGAACATGAGAGTCACCCCTTGAATCATTCATTGCCTCATTAGTTGCTGAGATATCAACGAAGATGCGCTTCTTTCAGCTCGCCATCGCCTCATTGGCCTCCGTCGTAGCAGCGACTTCATCCTTCGATACTTGGGCTCACGGCCGAGTTGCCCTGCAAGACGTGAGCATTCACTTCCGCTACGCCGGCTCAGGACCTCCTCTTCTTCTCGTCCACGGAAATCCCCAGCACAGTCTCACATGGCAATTCATCGGCCCTATCCTGGCTCAGAACTACACCGTCATTGCCCCCGATAACCGAGGCGCTGGTGACTCAAGCGTTCCCTCTGATGGAAACTACACCGCCGCTGCATTAGCAGAAGATCTTAAAGGCGTCTTGGATTTCTTAAACATCACCTCTGCGTATGTGTTTGCGCACGATAAAGGTGTCGGGATGGCAACGGCACTGGCGATCAAGTATCCAGATCTCGTCAAGAGACTTGCTCTGGCTGAGTACGTTCTTCCCGGCTTCACGTATGAGCAGTCCTCGAACCCAGCGCCGTTTTGGGATCTTTATCAGAATTGGCAGTTGGCTTTCTTCCAAGTCCCTGATCTAGCCGAGTTTCTCATGTCGGGAAAGGAAAAGCAATTCTTGCAGTGGTATTTCTACCATGGAAGTTACTCTGGCGTTGAGAGTTTTCGCGAAGAAACAGTCAACAGATATACGAGCAGTATCTCGAAACCAGGGTTTTTGAGAGCTATGCTTGGACTGTTCTCGAGTTCGACGGTTTACCAGGATGGTAATTTCTTCAAGACCGCGTTGAATGAGAGCCGATTGAGCGTGCCACTGCTCGGTATGGGCGGCGAGGCGAGTTTGGGATTGAAGTCGGTTTTGAAACAAACCTTTGAACCAGTTTCATCCGACCTTGAGATTGATGTCATTCCAAAGGCAGGGCACTGGGTTGGTGAGTTGTCCTATTGACCCCGACGGAGTATCTAGCTAATTGTTGAGTAGCGGATGAGAACCCCCGATGGACTGCCAAGAGAGTAGCCAAGTTCTTTGGCGAAGACAATGATAGTTTGTCAAAGGTTGACTTGGGTTACTTGGAGGATTTGGTTACATTGGATGTCGGGTTTTACGGTACTAGGAGAAACCTTGCGCTTGGCACCCAGTAAGCGATCTAGGCCGTTTGGATAGCCATTGAAAAGATTAGCGCAAGCATGGTTCTAAAGGGTTCGTGGGCAAGCCCACAAAGACCCGGTATATTTAAATGAACCAATACTCGAATGAGGAATTTGAGTCACAGGGTCGCAGTCGGCATAAATACGTCGTATGTATATACTCTCAAAATAGATACAAGAATGTTGCACCTGGCAACTCCTACACTCAATCTCATATATAATCCATCATAGCCAACCTCAAGCTTACTTCTTCACAGTGCATCCAATGCGCTTAGAGTCAATAGCAATGTCGTCAAACCAGAAAGTGTTGACAGCACCGCTGTAAGACTCCCAACCGAAGTAGACACCCTGAACCTTGGGCTTAGGCTTGCTCCTGGCCCAGCCGCCAGCATAAGAGCTGGGAGCCTCGGGCTTGTAGACAAGACCCAGCACGGGGTTGTCGTTGAGCCAAGTGGCGATTGTACCATCGGGGGAGAGATGGTACTCGAGGCACTGCCATGTGTTGGCGGGGATGCTCTTAGAGGCAGCGATGCCGTCGGGGGATAGATCGGGGAGAGTGGCGTCGTCGGATTCGTGGTTGTACATCATGATCTTGCTCTGGCCGCCGATGCGGAGATGCTTGCCCTTGCCCTGCGCAGCGTCAGGCATAGTGATGAAAGTGACGTGCGAGTCATCAAAAGCCTTGGCAGTCTTCCTAATAATTGGAACAAGTAATCAGTAGCTATTCCCTTGACATCTTCAGCTTCAACTTACATCCAAGTTCGGACGTAGACGTGGCCCTCGGGAACAGCATCAGTTCCAAAGAACTTGTGTCCGCAGAAACCATTGGGTCCACCAGTGACCTTGATAGAGTTCTTTCCACTGTGCGCAGTAGTCTTGTCCAGCTCAACACTACCGCCCTGATCACAATCAGGCGCATAAGTCGGCCAAGCGACCTTATCCCAACCACTCTCAAAATCCTCAGCGACCTGGCCGAGGGCAAGGGGCAGCACAGAAAGTGCAGCAAGAGCAACTTGACGAAGCATGATGGAAAAAAAGTATACGAGAAATGAAGTATAGACTGAAAGAAGTGAAGTGAAGAGCCAAGATTGCCAAGAATGGAGGGACGATGCGAGATCTATATATGAGCTGAAAGTGAGAGACGGGCGATATTAGGGACTGAAGCCTGAAACAGGGCGGTTCTCTCGCTTGTGGTTGTCATTGGCCGTGCAGGGGTGTGGCGGTTAGTTCGGAATCGAAAGCCCGCAATTTCCTTGTCGGGCCATGAGGTGAAACCTGAGACGAGCATGACGGGAATTCTTCCGTGGAAGGGGTGTGAAACAATCTATTTATCCGTCTTTTGACTGGATGGTTTTTCTGGCTCTTGAGGGGTTAGTCGGTATTACACATATTTAATCATATTCCTTTATGCATTTTTCGGATCAGGATGACCGTCGAGCCGATGATATGTGGTATAGGAAGTGGGTTGGCGTAGCATATAGAACATCACTTCCAGTACTGGGTTAATTACTTGACGAAAGAAATTCGGATGAAGCCGCTAGATACTCAAAATGGAAACGGAAAGTTTCTGTTCGGAGGTTGTTTTGCTCTATTCACTATGGACATCTAACGCCTAAATACAAACCTGACTATAGGAACCTCTGCCAGGTTATAGCTTGCCTAAATCGAACATCAACTATCCAACCCGTGTTGTTCACCTTTGCGCCAGGGCTGAGGCTTCTCCCGACCCCTCACCTCATGGTCCTATCACAAGAATTCATCCACTTGCCTTCATACACAAAAGAGCACCGAAAAGCTCAAACATCGGCCCTCTTAGCATAATAGATCCGCACAATCTCTCTGAGAGGGTTATATAGCATGATTCCAGTTGATGAAATCATCATTACCGTCATAGGTGCAACTCTTGACAGCAGTGGCGTGTATAGCTCCGGGTACAGCCCCGGAAGCAGCTCCTGCCACGGAATCACCCCTACTTGTTTAGCTTATCAAAGTCGTAGACATGCTGGCGTCGATTCTTGCCGTTGCACGTGTAGTCGACTGTGCAATGCTCCTCTCGATCGCTCTTACTCGTATGCCACCCGTTCACGATGCTTGCTTTCGTAGCATTAGGTGGAGCTTGGGATACGGTGTAGTTAGTGATAATAAGTCGTTTGCTCTCACCGTTGGTTTGTGTTTGGCCGTTATACATGTTTTCCGGATCGAATGTGACCTTGGTGTTGTCCATGTTTGCCAAGGATGCGGTGATGTTGTTAAGTACGGGGTATATCACTCGGTATGTCAATCTATTCCAAAGGTGAGACAATGCAGAGATTCAGAGGGAGTTTGGTGTTGCTAAAACGAGAGGTGATGGCCCGGAAGTTGGGAATTTGCTTGCACGGACGGAAAGATATAGCTCTTGCAACGAAATTCTGTTCATGCTAACTAAGTCACCGTATTCCAATGTTAAGTGATAATGTCTTCGATCGAATTCCAATGCGCGTGGCCTTGCGCCAGTGTCTATTTCCCACACATAACCCTTAATTCAGAAGAATTCTGAACAAAATACACTGTCACAGGAATCATGTGGGTAGTCCACTAGATATGTATAACATAAAAGACTCTCTGCCCGTGGCTGAACAGTCCTCTGTGTCATGGCCGTGCCGATTCATTTCGATGTTCAGGCCCAAAGCAAACACTAAGGTCAAGGCGCGAACAAAGAAACACACCAATCACAGACAGAACAACACAATCCGTAGGGGGCTCCTCTGATTCAATGCTAGTAGTTGCTACGTCCAGTGGCCCTGCAGGTCGAGACAAAGAATGTTGCGTCATCGTAGCCCAAACATCAAACTTGATTGACCTCGGGGCATCTGATTGGCTTCCTTTGAGTCTTTGTCAGCCATCCTGGCTCTTTCATATTGGCAGGCCCAAGGGCGATTGGTCTAACACTGTTTGCGGCTGTTCACACAACTCAGTCATTTTGTTCTTTGCTCTTCTGACATCTCTTTGCCTGAGGGTTAATTAACACACTGCGCAACCACTTTGTTCCCTGTTTTGTTGAACCCTACTAGAACAAACCAAAAAAAGTCTTTGATTTGACTCTGTCACCTGGATCTAATCCTTTTGCTTCCCAGTGGCTTCACTGTCAGGACCGCCCGTCGGTGCCTGCTGCTCTCCATAATATATAAAGCCACCTACACCTCTCTCCAACTTCCAGTCATTCATCCTTCTCCACACCCAGATTCGCAACACTTCCACAAGATCAACCAAAAGTCAGAAATTCTGTACCCTAACTTCAACAACAATGACTGACTCTCCTCCACCAACCCCAACGGCCCCTTTCGAGCGGAGGCTGAAGAACTGCGTATCCCCTGGCGAGAACCCCTTTATATACCGTCCTGGAGGCTACCACCCGGTTAATCTGGGCGATGTTTTCAACGACGGCCAGTACAAGGTTATTCGAAAACTTGGAGATGGGTGTTTCTCTATTGTCTGGCTCGCCCATGACTTGAAGTAAGTTAATTATTCCCCGTCCACTATTGATCGCTCGCTAACACTATTAACAGAAACTCGCGATATGTAGCGCTGAAGATACTTACCTCGGATGAGGCAGATGAGTCTCAGGAAGTGAAGATCCTACACCATCTTACAAAGACTGACCCCCTCGAATCATCCCAGCGGATCACGCAGCTTCTCGACGAGTTTGAGCACAAGGGCCCCAATGGCACCCACAAATGTCTCGTTTTCGAGCCCATGGGAGCCTCTGCCAACCAGATGCTTCTAGAACTTGCCGACAGAGAGCACAAGTTTCCGAGTGAGATGAAGTATACGCCCCAGATGGCAAAACGCATGCTCAGGGATGCGTTGAAAGGGCTGGCCTTTCTTCACAAGCACGGTATCTCTCACGCAGACTTCCAACCTGGCAATATGCTGTTCTCCCTCAACAACATTGATTCCTGCGATGAAGCGAGCCTAAGCCAAGAGGAATCGCCGGACGAGTACTATCGGATTAAGAGAATTGATGGCAAGAAGGACAAATGGGCCCCGGAATATCTTTGGACTGCGGAGCCGCTAACTGATCACACGAGTGTTGACGAAAACCTCAAAATCAAATTAGCTGACATGGGCGGCGGTAAGTACATTCCTCCTCCTCAGATGAATCTAGGCTAACAGTTGATAGCATACTTCCTCAACGACCCTCCCAAGGAACCGATAGTCCCCTGTACCCTTCGCGCTCCAGAGCTAGTCCTCAAAGGAGAATTCGACAAAGCCCAAGATATTTGGAGTTTCGGGTGTCTTGTTTTTGAATTGATCGCTGGACGGCCTCTCTTCTACGTATTTGGCCCCAGCAAAGACGATTCTTCCTTACTAGATGATGAATATCTTCTTGAAATCACGGATAGGCTCGGCCCACTCCCCGATGAGCTTTACAGCCACTGGAAGACCTCCTCGCGCTACTACACCCAGGATAGAACAAAGTACAATTGTATGATTGGTGGTGTTCCCGAGGGCAGGGAGCCACTTATGCTGGAACGGGAATCCATGGAACAAGCCTTCGACAAGAAGGGTCCCGAGATGACAGAGGAGGAGGCGCAGGAGGTTAAGAAACTCATCCGATGGATTCTTCAGTATGATCCTGCTCAGAGACCCTCAGCTGAAGAGATCCTCCGGCATTCATGGTTTGCGGGAGACTCAAGTGAGCAGGCAGAGTAAGGTTGGTACTGGTGGTAGTCTACAGGAATGAGGAGCTGGAGGATGGGAAAGGGAAGATTGATAAGTATCTTAGATTGAAACACTCACGCAGTAGGTAGATGGAATTATTGATTTGTGTTTAGATCTGCCAACTAAGTGATCCTACTCATCAACCCAACTTTAACCAATCGTGAAGCACCTTGACCTTCTAGTTCTTTGGCTTCTTGAAAGCATCCTTTGTAAGCTTAACGACGAAAGCACCACGTTCAATAGTGTTGATGAAGATATATCCCGACTTGAAGTAAGCATAAGAAGACCAGGTTCCGACAAAAGCAACAGAGCCACCGCCAGGAAGAGCATCATCCTCGGGGTAGATGTCGAACCAAGCGGCTTCGTAAACTCCAGCACCGGTGGGATCTTGAGGAATGGAGCGGCCATCGAGGACGCGGAGACCGGCGCCGTAGTGGGACTGGTAGATGTAGTTGTTGATGACGTACTGGTTGTGATCAATGGACTTGGTGGGGTGCTTAAAAACGCCGGTCTGCTTGGGGTTCTCGAGATCACGAATGTCCCAGATGAAAGTAACGGGGTAACCATCAGAGCCAGGGCCTTTACCATCACGCTCATCGAGTTCATCGTCCAAGACAAGGAATTCTTGATTTTGAGTGTCGAGAACCCAACCTTGATGGGTATAAGAAGCACCCTCGTAAGAGATCTTGGAGATAATATTGGTGACATTAGCCTTGTCCGTGACATCGTAGATGGTCAGAGTATCTTCGTTATATCCGTAGCAGATATCAAGGCCCTGGTAGCGCTTATCAGGACCACGGTAAACAAGACACTGCGCATCGTGAACGTAGCCATCGCCCTTGGCGCATCCAAGAGACTCTGGGTTGGAAGGATCAGTAAGATCAAAGAAGTTAAGGCCAGAGAGACAGTTGGCGTCAGTGCGCGGCTGAGCACCAACAGCAACACCGTACTTCAACTCCTCATTGACAACAACATTGTGAGCCCGACCAACAGGCAGCAGAGCGGAAAAGTGGCTGGTGAGGTCATTCTTTGCGTCAAAGACAACAGGGTTCTTGGGGTTGATCTTCAACAGCTTCTTCATGTCAAAGATCTGAATACCGTGGCCAACGGCCTCTGATCCGATGATGACGTAGTTCTTGTACGTGCGGATCTCGCGCCACTGGGAGGGGACAGAGTACTCGGGCAGACGACCAAGGTAGACGAGCTGTCCCTTCTTGGTGATCTCCGCGAAAGCAGTGCCGTCGTACTGACCGATAGCGACAAACTCACGTCCGTTATCGGAAGTCCATCCCCACGAGGAAGAGCCTCGACCGCCGGTGCTACCAAGCGCAGCATGGCTCAAAAACGAGTAGAGATCAGCCTATAGATTCGTTAGCCAGTGTAACTAGTTGTTATACAAGGGGCGATACTGACGTTGTGGCAGGCAAAGGTGTTGTTGGCATCACCCTTGATAGCCTCTGCGTAACCATCGACACACTTGGTGTAGCCGAGCTTGGGATACTGCTCGCTGGCGAAAGCACCAGCGGCCTCTTGCTTCGCCCAGACAGCCTGTTTGCTGGCCATGAGCTTGTTGTGCACCTCGCCCGAGTCATACAACCTAGCGGCTTTCTCTTCATTGACCTTGATCTCCTTGGCGGCGACATAGGAGCTAACAGCGGCGAGGGCGCCGAGGAGGAGAGTGGACTTGACCATCATGAGAGATTAGGGATGATAGCTGGGGATGGAGTGGAAGGAGCGACATGTTTGGTGAGGATTGTGTGCCTTTTATGTATAAACTGGCGGTATGGCTGCTGTGTTGGAATCTTTGTAGATCACGTATACCGGCAATCCTACCATAAGCGATCACAGCCGGAGGGTCAATGCACATAGGCGCCTTGAGATCTCCGCGTCACCAATCATCGTCTCTCCAGCGTCGCACCGAAACCATTATCTCAACTTGGCGATAGTGACGGCATTTCTTGTCCACCCCAGATCTGGAAGGTGTCTTTCGCACACCCGCTCTGTTATCAGAACCTATGATCGCTTCCACAGGCACCACCAAGGTTCTCCGTTGCAACCTAAGAAAGTACCAGGCACGAAGAATGTCTCACAAAAGTTCTAATGCACAGACTCTTATTGGATACAAGGTATATCTTTCGCAATACTTGGCAGGGAGTGTACCAGTCCTAGTTCGGCAGGTAAGTTAAGCTTATTGGATAGACTTCTTTTCTCGGACATAGAGCCGATGGTGCTTTTTTAATCTTATCGTGAAGTTTAAAGGCGCAATGCGACCCTGGAGCGGGCTTGGTGGGGATGATGATTGGAGGAATTGTGTTGGGGGCCAATAGGGGATTAATACCGATCACAGATTCAAGCTTGTGTTTTTGCTCCGTGGTTATCTATGCTTAAGTCATGGTTCTTATCACTATTTGAAGCGCTGGCTTTTGTACTATAGTGGATATAGCATGTGTGGTACCCTTGGCGATCTTGGTACGTGCCAATAGTAGTGAATTTGCCTGGGCATAACTCACCGAGGAGACGTAATAGAGAGCTCAACGACTTGAGAGTCCAACTTCTCGTACTTCTCGGTTGCGCGTATCATCGCAACATCATGAGCTAACAAACAGCTAATTTCACTGAAAAGTTTTGCCCATCCATTAGTTCTTCTAAGCGACGTTGACTATCCTTCCACCGTTACCGTTTTTGATGGCCCCTGTCACCTGTGTAATGTTCTGTCTAGCTACCCTGCACCGATGGCGTTAGTTACTGAAGGGCGCCTTTCGACAAGACCAGTAACGATCACCACCAGCATGGTGCAGGCAAAATGCTTGCCATGAGGAAAGCGTAGTAGAATGGTTGATGAAAGGTTTGAGCTATAATTGAATTTCAATGTTAAGGTGTGGTATCAATTGAGGTAAATTAAAATACAGGATGATGATCTCAGATACAAGGGTAAGACACACAAGCCCACTTCAACCGTCACTTTGTCTTGTAACTCATAGTAGGGAGAAAGAACCAGAAGGAGAACGTTACATAGGTTGGCGTGCTGTTTACAGCTTGCTGAACTAGCTGTCAAAGAAAAAGTCCAAACGTTTGTTGCCTTGGTCGCTAGTATTGTTGAGGTAATTTGCCTTTTCATGGGCAGTCATGCTCTCCCATTTGCTCCTCTTGGACTTATTGCGGTACGTGTAATAGCCCTTTGCAAAAGCATATGCGAAAATAGTTCCCACCGTGATCCCAATCAAGTTCTTATTTCCACGGTGATAGAGCGGCTTATCGTCTTCACGATAAATGTTGGAAGACGCAATGCCCGACAACTGGATGGTGATGTTGTACAAAGCCGCACTGATAGCTCGAGTTCGGACTGAGCCGGATAGTCTTGAGCACCAGCCAACCTGAGCTGCATGGACGGAAGGTTGGCCGATGATCAAGAATGCCACAGCGTATTGGGCCCAGTGCGATAGGTTCTGGACCGAGGTATACTCGACGATGAGCAATGGGAGGACCCAGAGCTGGGTAAGTAGACCGAATAAAGCAATCTGGTGGAACTTCTCCGTGAGAAAGGTGATCCAGAGCATGTTGACTGCAGCAAAAACTGTAGCAGGGATCGCCAAGAGCGTCGTGTTGAAAGTGCTAAAGCCCAGGGCTCGAAGCGATAATGTCAGGTAAGTCTTGGGCGGCGCAGTCGGAATCTCAAACAGTATGCCAATAGCGTACACAGGCCAGAGGTCATAATCCTTAAGACTCTTCCAAAGCATTCCCAACGTAATCGGTTCGCGGTTATGCATGCCGCTCTTAGATGGATCATCGCGAAGAACACGGTTGACAATGATCTTCTCTTCACGCTCGGTAAAGTAGCCCCCGGGATTCCACCACGTCTTTGTTTGTGTAGGTCCAGGGACGAGGAAGAGGAAGCTCAGAACACCAACTACCAAACTGACCAAAGCCTCCAAAAGGAACAACCAGCGCCAGCCTTCTCTCCCCGCGACACCGCGCATGTGTAGGATGCCGTATGCCATGAACGAAGCAACAACACCAGACATGGAGTCGACGAACCAGAAGAGCGCAAGACGAATAGGCATCTCGGTCTTCTTATAGAAGTACGAGAGGTAGAGAATCGAGTCTGGGATGAAACCGCCCATGAACAAGCCGATGAAGAAACGACATGCAAAGAAACCTGCACGGTTATGCATGAAGAACTGTCCGCCCGACGCTAAACTCCAGAGGATGATCTGAACAGGGATCCAGCGATCGGGGCCAAGACGCTTGCCGATCATCTGCGATGGAATCTCCGCGACAAGGAAGCCAATACGATACATGTTCTGCGCGTTGTTAAAGTCGTTGGTGTTGAGGCCAAGATCGTCGAGTAAGTTATCAGCAGCTGCGTTGCCGAGATTCCCGCGATCGATGTTAAGGCCAAAGAACATGACCAGGATCCAGATGAAGATCTTGAGGTCAGTTTTGCGACGGACGGCATATTCTTCGCGGTACGTCCATCGCTCGTTTGGGTCGAAGCGATGGAAATTCTCATACTCTGGAGGGGGCTGGTAGAATTGGGAGAGGTGGGGATCGTCAAAGACGCTGCGCTCAGTGGCAATAGCGTCGAGATCGGCGGGTTTGTTACGGCGGGTGAGGGCTTCCCAGATACCGATATTTCTGCTGGTGTCTTGGGGCTCTACAAGATCTGTTGGCTCATCTTTGGGAGAGCTGATCTCAAAAGATGGTGCTTTTGCGTCAATGTCTTGATGACTAGGATGAGCCATTCTGGGCAGTATGAAGCCAAATGTTCCTCTAGGTAGTTCAAGGTTGAGAAATGAGTTTGATGGTTGTTTATGTTCGAGAGAGACTGTTATCCCTCTTATATGTAAACCCTTCTGTGATACTTTAATAATCCGACTTACACCCAGCGTAAAAGACCTTCTTCAACGTGCTGATGCGTGCATATGGTGTGACCAGCCGAGGCCCCGGTTTCAGAGATAACCATCAATTCAAGCCTACTACCTTGTTCATCTCGGCACCGATGATCCGAGAAGCCATCACGACATTACGGGGATAAATGGGGATTGACCAGCGACCCCCAACACCCGTTACCGTATGCGGGTTGCTAGCCGGAGCTATGTATCGAGTATCCCATGAAGAGGAATGTATATTTACAAAGGATGGGGGTTTTATTGGGGGTCCATACGGTCAGTCGGGTTGACAAGCGATATGCCGTTTTAGCAAGGCTTTTCTAAGCACATGAGCCAATGTGTATAAGATAATGACGCATTTTGGCCACTCCGATACCGCGTGCAAGCAGTTGAAGGTGTGATTTCATGTCTTGTCGTGAATTTGATGTGCAAAAGGCTCTACGTAGCCGTGACAGGCGAAGAAGATACACCTACGACTTTGGATGTTTGAAACTGTTTTAAGAGTAGACCACCAGGATCTGTATAGTGGTTAATTGACATACCGCTTACTTAAAATACATCGAAAGAAGCGAAGTCCCTTTATATAGCCCTAGAAGGATACATAGCATTCTAATGATCAATCTCTCGTCCCTGCTATACCGAATGGGAGATTCTTGTACTTGGCAATACCCTTTGTCTCAGGATGCTCAACATCAAGATCCCATTTATCAGGAACTTCCAACCCAGCATCAAGATGATGCTTATTCAACAGCACAGAAACCCCATCACGATAAAGCCAAGGGTCATTCGTCCTCCGCTGCCAATCCTCAAGCCTGTCCCTCAACTCCTCCAAAATCTCTTTATACTTGGGGTCTTTAGCTAGATTCACAACTTCATGCGGGTCAAGTTCCAAGTCATACAGCTCTTCAGCCGGGCGGAAGAAGTAATCCTTCAAATTCCTCTGCCCAATCTTCTTGGGACTGTCCTCTGAGTTGCGAATGTCCTCCCACGTCAATGATCCGTAGATGTCGTTCGCAAATGGAAAGTCTAGTCTCCATGCGATGTTGCGATGGTACTTGTAGCGTCGCGTGCGGATGAAGCGGGTGGGCCAGTAGTTGGTAGACTCATGAAAGGTGTGTGAGCCAAACACGTGGTCCCAAGCCTCAAGATCCGTTTTCTCATCGAGGATCTTGAGAAACGAGCGGCCTGATAGTTGTTTCTTTGGCCCTTCGGCGGCCTCACCGAGTGTCCAGTCCAGTATCGTTGGTAGAATGTCTACGTACGACACCAAGTTTGTGTTTACAGAAGCATTGAAGCCTGGGTGTCGCACAATAAGTGGTAGCTGTACACCGGCGTCGTACAAAGTTGTCTTGGAGTTCATAAACGGAGGCCCGTTGTCGCTCATGAAGATAACCAACGTAGTCGAGGCAAGCCCTGCGCTCTGAAGCTCATCGAGGATAAAGCCGATGCCCTGATCCAAGCGACTAATGGCCTCCAGATACTCTGCGAGTTCGTGTCTGGCCCCAGGAGTATCGGACAAGAATTCAGGAACCACCATATCTTCGGAGCGGTACTTGACGTTTTGTACGCGCTCGTCAACAGGCTCATCGTTCCCAAAGCCACCACGCGTTCGATCGCGATGCGGATCATGATATCCAACCGTCAAAACAAACGGCCTCCCATCTTCCTTCGACGTAGCGAAGAACTCTTTCGCCTTTTGCGACGACCACCAAACATCCCTCGTCAAACTCTCAGCCCTCCATTCCCATGGATACACAGCCTCAGGCCCAACGTGAATCTTGCCAATGATCCCAGTCCTCACACCGTTCTTGGCTAAGATAGCAGGGCCAGACTCGATGTGATCAAAGGTCATGAAATGATGCTTTCCACTGTTGAGGCCGTACTGGCCGTTCTGGTGGGTGTGTAGCCCGGTGTAGATGGTAGAACGACTTCCGCTGCATGAAGCGGTGCTTGCAAAGGCTCTGTCGAACCTTACACCCTGAGAAGCGAGTTTGTCAATGTTTGGAGTTTTTGCATTGGGATGGCCGTAGCAGCCTAGTTGTTTGCCTAGGTCATCTGCAACAAGCAGAAGGACATTATTTGCCACCATGTCGAATGGAGTAGATAAATGTTGATTTTGATGCTATACGAGAAGTGAGAACTGAATTGGATAGATAATATTTCTGTACTACGTGTTTCTTCGGGTTTGTACGCGGATTACATGTCAGTGTCTAGGTTGGCGATGGCGTGACGAACGAGACTATGTCGCCATCCAGCAAGAATTATATATCCCAACATCCCACGCAGGCAAACAGCAGAAGACATGTAACCGACATCAAAACGGTGCCGAATATCCGTGCTTATCATAATCGCATCGTGAAACTACTCAGAATTGAGCCTCAATCATGTCGATCAAGCGTGCAAACAACCTAGTGCACAGCTGTCAGATTGGTTCATCCGCGGCGTTGAAAAAGCGCACCAATGAGGTTAAATATAAGCGATTGTGACATCCGCGCTATTTATGGATATAGCATGGGTCTGAACGGCCGAGGTGTAGGTATTCGGCTCCGACTTCCAGGAACCCCTAAGGTATGAGTCTTGACGAGGAGGTTTCACTCAATGTACTGGTACATGCAAGGAGTCTCTGGCTGTCTAGGACTTGATAGAGTAAAGCTTAGAATAATGGCGACATGTTCTAGTCTCGGAAAGGAGCGATGGCCCGAGATGATATGAGCTGTGCGTACGTTTCAATATTGCGAGATGTTATGATAAGATTATGGTCACCGTCTAGATAGACCTTGCTCTGTAAATCTGACCGGAATAACGGCAACGCAATTTGAATTCGAGGGGAAACAGACAAGATGAGGACAATATGTCGTGCTCACGGTGAATAACAGCAACAATTCCAGATCCAGCAGGCGTAGATATTGAATCGGACACGAGTACTCACCAGGCGTCTGAGAATAAGTATATATTGCAGACTACGCTTCAAACTAAGTTAAGGGATCAAGTGAAGCATCTTAGACACGGCTCTTTCAAGATGAAATTCGTTCTCATCTCAGGCTTATTCTCGGCCTTCCTTGCAACCGCTCAACTCACAGGCCCCGTCGGGCCCCTCACAGCTCTCTCCCAAAAGACCCACGAGTGCAATATTCTCGACTACGGCGCTATCAACGACAACTCCACTGACGTCGCAGATGCCATCGAGAAGACCTTCAAGACCTGCGTCCTCCCTCACTCTGGAAGTCGTCTAATCATTCCTGATGGACAGTATCTAATCAAACGCTCTGTCGTTCTGTCAAACGGCACAAACTGGGCGTTGCAGCTCGACGGGCTCATCACCCTGGCTTATGGTGGGAACTGGACTGTTGACCGTAAGTTGGTACTTCAGGGCTTTGCGGGTGTTGAGCTACTGAACGCAACTATCAATGGTGAAGGTGATGGACAATTCTTGCAGAATGGACTCACCATTATAAATCGTAAGTATCATGTCCATAGGCTCGTTGTTTCACTTGACTAACTTAATCTATCAGCTGTCGACTTCGAATTTTATTCACAGAATGGGAAGGGCGCCATTCAGGGACAAGGATACATCTACAGAAACTTGGCAAAGTAAGTCTCCCTCCTTAGTGTAGTATTGCGAGAGGCTTATCTTCATTTCAGCACTTTCCGTCCCCGTCTTGTCAGAATAATTTCACCGATGAACACTTCTGTCCACGACCTCATTCTTGTTGACAGCCCCAAGTTTCACATCGTCTTTGACTTTGCTGAGAACCTCGAGGTTTATCACCTCACCATCAGAGGGGCAAACTTAGGTTCCTACGATGGCGTTGACGTGGTTGGCACGAACTATTGGATCCACGACATCGAGGTACGAATTTCTTAGCCGAAAATCAATGATAGTGTACTTATCATGTCAGGTTACAAACCGAGACGAATGCGTGTCGGTGAAAAGCCCCTCCAACCACGCCCTCGTCGAGAACCTAGTCTGTAACCAAGCTGGGTCCGGTATCTCGATCGGCAGTCTCAACGTGTCTGCTTCTATCGCTAATATCGTAAGTAAACCCTATCCATAACACTTAACGGGGCTGACAAAGTTATTCTAGCATGCACGAAACATCAACATCATCCAGGGAAACAACATTGCTTTCATCAAGACTTACCCAGGCGGGTCTGGCTATGTCACCAACATAACCTTTGAGAATTTCCGTTCCAAGGCTTCTCTTTATGGCTTGGACATCAACCAGTATTGGCAGAACACGTTTGAGCCTGATACCGGAGCTGTCGCTCTGAGTAACCTTGTGTTCAAGAACTTCTCTGGTATGCACAAGGATGGATGCAATATAATTCGATCACTGACTGTTGTGTTACAGGATCTGTCGCCGATGGTTCTAAGCGACCTCCGCTTTTCCTGGTTGCCAATGATTTAACATTCGCCACCAACGTCACGGTCCAAGACTTTACTATCTGGACTGAATCTGGAACTTCAGTCGTTAACAAGATTAGCAACATCTTTGGTCACGGCGATAATTCCTATGGACAGGCAGATGGCATCAAATCGCTTTCTTCTGGCCAGGCACCTACTGCGTACACGAGCACATACACAATCACCGCTACACCCACTGGTTGGAAGGCCCCATCATTCCCTACGTGGGCTGCGGCCAGCACTGGTTATGGAAGTGAGTGAATTGATGAGCTTTGCCTTTATGCTCGCTAACTGTTTCTCTAGCTGATGTACCAATTCCGGTCTATACCCCAGCTGCGCTATGGAAGCCGAGTGGTGACTATGATAAACATTACTGGGGCAGTTTTTGAGGTAGCGTCATTGTTAGCAACCTCTGACACTCGACCCTCAGCAAAACGCCCAGGGAGAGAAGAGGCATATGGAGATACGGGTGATAGCCTTATATAATTAGTAGCTAGAAGAAAACAGTCTAGTAAATATACCTAAACCCTGAGCGTTGAGTTCCCGTAGCTGCAGCCATGTCGACCTTTCCATCCTCAGTAGCTACGGCATTCGCTTCAGCCTCTGCCTTATCCAGCTTCTTGTTCTCCCTCTTATGGACAAATCGTAGCAGCAGAGCAAGAAGGGCGACTATAACACAGATCGCGGCATTGGCGCTACCGCCTGGTGTGTATTGGGGACCGTCTTTGCTGGGATACATGTACGATCCGTAGATACTCGCTGTATTGCCGATCATGTTGCAGATGGCGATGACGGCTGAGCGCTTTACTAGAGGACGGGGGAAAGAGTTCGCGACCCATGATACGATGATTTGGTCTGTAAAGTGTCAGTTGACGATAGGAGAACGACTTCGATTGATGCACTTACAAGAAGCCACAGAACCCATCGGCATAAGAAACATGGCAAAGAAGCGAGCTCCGACAACGGTTGTCCCAGCTGCGATGGCGTTTCCGATGGCTGCTACGAGCATGAGGCAAATGATATGAAGCGATCTATCGTTCGTCTTTGCAGAGCTCAACGTAACACACACCGAGAGGAGGAAAGTTGCAAACTACAATAATTGTCAGCATATCCCACTCTGACTCAAAGAATAATAACTTACCCAAGCTGGAGCAGTGAGCCACAGAGTAGTGATCTTTCCATAACCAAGCGTTCCGACAATAGTTGGGAAGAAGTATTGGAATGTCTGGGAAATCAAGCTGACGTGCTGAAGAAGCACGAAAAGGTAGAGTCGGTAATCGCGTACAGCCATCTTGACACCGTCCCAGATTGTCTTCTCGCCGTAAGCGTCGACTTCGTTGATATCTTGTGCTAAGCGCCATGCTGCGAATGCGCGCTCTTCTTGGGTAAGCCATTTGGTGGTGTGAGGATAATTGGGCAGAGCGACTGAGGCGACGAAGGAGAATCCGATGGCGGCTACGCCCTCCTGTTTTTCATTAGCCTTGTCACAGCAATGTCAAGATTGAACTTACGATGATAAAAAGCCATCTCCAACCTGCGATGCCATGGGCTCCCTCAAGATCACCGAGAATGGCAGCACCCAGAACACCGCCAAACATGTTCGCCAAGGCATTTCCAGAATAAAGCCACGCAATGCGTCGAGTAAGTTCAGCTCTTGTATACCAAGAACTCATCAAAAACACCGCTCCGGGAAAAAAGGGCGCTTCAACAAAACCCAGGAAGAAGCGAATGACGATTAAATGCGTGAAGCTATCAGAAGCAGCATTGCAAGTCGACACAACGCCCCAAAGACAACAGGACGCGCTAAGGTACAGCGACGGTCGAAGCTTTGTCAGGATGAGATTGGAGGGAAGTTGCATGAGTAGATATCCCACGAAAAAAATCGACGTGGCGAGGTTGAAATCTGTGCCTGACATGCCGAGATCTTCTTCGAGGGATCCTTGTCTGGCTTGTGCGAGATTTGAGCGGTCGAGAAAGTTGAGGAGATACATGACGACAAGAGTCGGCATTAGTCGCATATCGACCTTTCGGAGGAGTTTCTTGTCGAAGTCTTTGCGCCATTCTTCGGTTTGGCTGTTGAAGTCCCATGACTCGAGGTTTTGCTCACGGCCAGCGGCGGGGGTATCGCCTTCGTCCATCTGGATGGATGCTTTGCCTGTGTCCATTCTTGCGTCAAGAAAACCGAGTGGCAAAAAATGAGCTTCACGGAAGACAGAGTGAGTTGGGGACCAAGAATTCAGCTACGATGACGGTATATAAAGCCCCCTCCAAACGAGAAAAGAGCAAACCCGGCACAAGTCTCGGCAAAGGAATACACCGAACTTCCATCATAACTGGTAACAGATCAGCGAAAAATGTAACATCACCAACAGTTTGACCAACGAGAAACAAGGCGATTGCTTCGAGTCGGTAGATCATCCCCCGCGACTGAATTGGCGAGACTACCCCGCAACTGAGTCGGGTTGATTCTGGGGTAGAATGGGCGCCAGCAAGGTCTATGACTCGGGGGTGTCACCATGACCCGCTCACTTGTGGGGAGGACGCTGTTTTTCGTATGTGTTGTTTGATGGGTGTTGTACGGATTGGGAGGGAGGGTCGTATTAGGCTGCATCTACGGAGATAACTTCACGGAGTTGAATGCATTTGCCCAGTCCTCTTATCTAAAGGCATGGCTTCGATGCGAACCAGATCTTGTTGAAGCGAGATAAATGTTATAGAGACCAATGGGACAGGAGCGCGATGCAAGCCGGTCGATCTTTGGACCGGACCACCAGTATTGGTGTGTCGGTATAAGCTCTCGCTCTACTTGGCCTCGTGCAGGGACTCACTTTCGGAGCCAGAAGTAGTCCTCGAGAGTCTCAGCGAGTGGCCGAGGTACTTTTGTAATGTTACTCCCGAGATTTCCTATCTTGAAACGCGAATTGGGGTTCGAATGCAACGGTAAGCGATGCAGGTATTCCCGTTCAACCAATCAAGTGGACGATCACTATTAGGCAAAATGAACATTGCGATCGTCAATGTGGAGAGCAAGCGAACTGCACATCGGACAAAAGACCGACAATCCTTTAGCTACATTTGGGCTAACTACTAGGCTTCCTAGCATAGAAGGACTGTCTTATTCCAAAGTTCGGTGGACTCTGTAAAGTGCAAGATATAAACATTGTTCCCAATGATCACTTCATCGGTGATACATAGAAGTTTTATTACTTCATCTTTCATCTCAAAGAGCCCTCGCCTCCATGATCCTGGTGGTTGGTCGCTGTAGCCATCCAAAGTCTTACCTATAACTTCCCAAATTTCTATGAAATAGTCTTCACTACTCGGTTCCTCGTGGACGGAATCGAGGCAGAATTTTGGTTCAAGATTGAACCCTTCCTCCTTGTCTTTGAAGGTGACGCGCCTTCCGGTGCTAAACGGGAAAAGTTCTTATATTTCGGCTTTCAAACCTTCCTTCTCCCTGCTCTCGTCTCCCCAGGACCTTTCGTAAGGTATCAGGTCAAGCGTTTTACAGATATCTTCGTAAACGGAATGGTCTTCACCACCATGAGTCAGAACCCTTCGTTTGATCCGAGAGGCGTTTCTGATCCAGTCGCATGATAATAAAAGCAAGCCATCACTTTTGGCTCGGAGCTTTGGGAGACATCTGGCAAGCGTCGTGACACGGTCTCTGAGCGGTGCTTTGGGTGATGGGAGTAGGAACTGCGGATCCGATGCACCATGCGTCAAGGCTCAGAGATACGAAGCCATCACGGTGCCAGGTTCCATAAAGCTTCCCTGTTCTCCAAAAGGCTGTTTTGTAGCACCCAGCTCATCTTCCACTCCAGCTGTGAAATGGGCGTGTATGTGGCCATCCACAGTATCCCAAGCCAATTTTCCAAAGGCGAATGTACATGAGTTGGGCACATCTGGATCAGGGAGGATTTTAATGAGCCGATGACCCCAATTGTCAGCCACTGGTAACACTGAATAGAGATTGATGACGTGACAGAGTGCTGCTCCGTCGACTTCCATCTCGATGCCGCCGTTCTGGGTGTTTATATACCCACCTGTCACGGGCCTCCAACCAACAACTTTCATTCCAGGTCGTATACCAAGGCTGTGTAGGAAATAGGCCCAGCAAGCCGTCCCTGGCGAGAGAGTGGGAGACTTTCTGCTTGGAATCAAGTTGTTATTTTTGGCCCAGGAAAATCGGAACATTTGACGGTCCTTTGGCACTGGCGAAGCTTCCCTTTTCAAAACAGACTCGACGATCCCATTAGTCTCGACAAGATGGTCTTCAATGCCTTTTTTGTGCATTACTGGAATACGACAGCGACCCTCATCATCTAGTGCCTCGTCTTTCCAGATACCAAGGCTAGCGTGGAGAGCCTTTTTCTTAGAAATGTTCTGATACAACAGAACAATAGGTTCACGTATCAGGTTGACAACTGTATCGGCGAGGTTGACTGTTTGAGCGATGTCACTTTCGACCTTGGACACCTCCGACCCAGACGCTTCATACTGGATTTGCGACATGGATTATATGGCGAACAGCGCTGAGAAGAGAATTGGGTTAAGCCACCAACAAAAAGGAGACTCAAGCTGCGCTAGGTGATCACTTGCGGAGTAAGTTTTAGCAACTCGTGAGTTGATGTTGAATGGTAAATGAGGGGTTGGAGGGTAGGCATGTGTTGTCAGCTGACCACGGCATTGGCCGTGGTCATGCTGTGCATAAATTGCAGAGAACATGATAGGTTATAAATATGAGTTCTCTGCTTCAGCGTGATTTCTTGTTTCCACGAGAGCCGGAGTTGTACTAAGATTAATCTGAGAACAACTCCAACATGACAACAGTCCCCTCAATAAAGCGGAAATACTGAGTTAAGTGTGATTAGGTCAAACAGAAATCATGCTACTTTTTAGCTTGCACCCTACCCTATCATTTGACCCCACGGTAATATCATGAGATGAAGAAGCGTAGACTACTAATTGAGAATCCCGATTAAGAGCTCAGGTCTTGATAAGAAACCCCACGCCGGTATTGCGCTAGAATGGAAGTAGGCAATTAATTGCAGTATGCATATACTGTCAACATTAAAGCTCATTTTGGAAGCATGGGCTCAACGAGGTTGTGTGATGATCAATGCATGCTTAATCGCTCACTAATTCGTATCAATGTGACTCTGTTTAAACCTCGTTAATTAATTTGTATAGCCTACAAATTAGCTCATGCTGTATCATTGTCACCCAGTGATTGAAATGATAGCTAATATACCGGTTCCTCCCAACCTGCAAGGTTTGCACCAGTCATGAAAAGATGCAGCCGCACTGAGTATTTGACATTTGCCTAAAGGCCTTTTGAGGGAAATTACAAGACTAAGATGAAAGCAGCTCGGTTGGCTGGAATCATGTAGTCTAGATCAATAGTCAAAAGCACCGAGTTGGTGAGAAGGGAGATAACCTATGACCAAAAAGGATAGCTCAAGCGACTTCCCCGCAACCTCATGGATAGCGACAAGGGGCCTTAATACGATGGCGACGATCGCCTACCCTGGCTTCTGTAGAGTTACGAACAAGCCTGTCATCAAGCATAACTCAATCTACCTTCCGCATCTAGATCAATTATGGAAGCGGGAGCCGACTCTAACTTAGTATACGATTCGATGACGGTTATCAATTTGGCAGGCGAAGACATAACGACCAAGACTTGCGCTTGGCCTTGGGAAAGGCAAGATGTAGAGGGTTAATAACTATATAAGGCTGTCTGGACGTTGCCCGAGAAAAGAAATAGAAACCATTCTAGGTCGTCATACTCTCAATTCTCAAACAACGCGATAAAAGCTCCAGGTTCGGTCTCTAGCCTGCTTCTGGCAGTAGCTCTTCTGGCTTCCCCAGGCTCATCTAGACACCGTCTTCCACAATGGCTTCATCTACTCCCTTGATCTTCTCTCCACAAAATACTCTGCTCTCGCCGTCAAGGATGGACGCATTGCATTCCTAGGCGATGAAGAAAGCATCTAATCATATATCGCCAAAAACACCTCAGTCTTCAACCTTGAAGGCCGTATGATGATGCCGGGACTTGTGGACGCCCATATACATCCCCTCAGTGGTGGAGCAGGTCTCCTCAAGTGCAACATGAACTTTCAGCCCTTGGGTCTTAGTAAAGTCCTCGAGAAAATTCAGAGTTGTCTTGATGACGAAAAGAATAAGACGGATAAAGATTGGCTAGAGGTCATTTCTCTTGACTACTACGCTTTGGTTGACGATACGGGCGGCGTTACGAAAAAGGACCTAGATAAAATCAAAACGAAAAGGCCTATTCTGGTGGCGTCAGCTGATTCGCATACCTTCTGGGTCAACTCAGCGGCGCTGAAGGTATCATCCCTCACAAGCAAGACCAAAGACCCACGAAATGGTAAATTCGAGCGACTCCCAGGAAGTCAAGAACTTTCAGGGATTTTGCAAGATTCCGCGACGAGTTTGTTAGCAGGACCGGCGCCACCAACAGCTGAGGACAATGTTCGATCTGCCAGAGCAGCATTGAAGCTTCTTCGTGAGGAAGGCGTGACAAGTTTCCAAGAGGCTGCGTCTACCGAAGATACAGCTCTTGCGTTTGCGGCTATCAAGAAAGAGGGAGGCTTGACAGCTCGTGGCTTTTTCGATTATCTCGTGCAGCCACCTAACAACACTGCTGGAATTGATCTGCTGGAATTGATGATCTGGTGAAGGACGTGATCAATGTTACCTCGACGTGGAAGGACAAGAAGTATCTAAACCCAAGTCCTTCTATGAAGTGGCACGCTGTCAAGATGTTCATGGACGGCGTTCTCTTATACCCAGCGAATACCGGATCCCTCATCGAGCCATACTTTCAGCCTGTGGCTAATACATCAATCTGGGCACCCAAGTCAGATTTCGGGCCCAAAACATACTGGGATAAAGAACTTTTGAGCCTGACCCTAACAAAACTGTTCAAGAACAACATCGACGCTCAGATCCACGTTGACGGAGATCTCGCTGTTCGAACAGCCCTAGATGCTCTTGAGGAGCTCCGAAACAAGAACCCCAAACTTCGTGATTACCGCGTTGGACTCGCTCACAATGAAGTGACTGATCCGTCAGACTGGCCTCGCTTCGCTGAACTCAAGGCCGATCCTATCATGAGTTTTCAATGGTCACAGGCCAGTTCAGTCTGGCTCCCGAATGGTGTTAAGAGCATGGGCCCAAGACGATCGTACTACATGGAAGCTTTTGGAGAACTTGCCAAGTTTGGGTCCGCTATTATCTACGGCAGCAACTGGCCGGTATGTAACCATAAGCTGTATCAACAACATTAAGACTGACAGCAGCGATAGATCGATCCCCCAGATGAGTGGCTCGCCATCAAAGCTGGCGCCACGCGCTCCGGCGACCCCAAGAACCCCCACTCTCCCGCTTCACAAGGCGCACCCTACAACGGCAACGGTCTTCCCGGTTTGACTCTCACACGGGACCAAGCCATCCGCGCTATCACGACCGAGAGCGCTCGCTTCCTCCGCGCTGATGCTTACATCGGTTCACTTGAAGTTGGAAAGCTTGCGGATGCTATTGTCCTGAAGGCTAATTACTTTGAAGTCCCGGAGGAGCATATCGCTAGACAGAAGACGCTGCTGACAATGGTTGGTGGTGAGGTAGTGTATATTGCTGATGAAGTTGACTTTAAGAATGGTGTTAAAGCGGAGTTTGCGAATGATGATGATGTTGGGAGAATGATCAAGAGGAGGAGTGTTGGGGGGATCCAGGGGAGGGATTTGTCGGAGGAGGGGAAGAGATCTGTGCAGCGCCTACAAACTCGTGGGGCTTGTGTACATTCGCATCATCACTAATGGTAGGGCTCCGGTGCGTGAGGCAAAAGTCGCTTTTAGTCATCTTTGAATTCATAAGCCTCAGAAGGCCTTTCAATATGTTGTCCTTAGCACCGAGCATGGTGGGGTGGTAAGACATGTCATGTTGGACCAAAGGGGTAACGAGGGTTTAATTATGGCCTGACAGAAGTGAGCTGAGGAGCTGAAAAGTCGAGATTACTTGTTATTCTTCTGTGTGATTCGCTGGAAGGAAATTTAAACTACGTAAAAGAGACATCAGCTAGCCACAAAGCGATCCTGCATTCCTTAGTTACGTTTCTGTTCCAGATTTAGAGACAAGGACCCGCACGTTCACATCTAGAGCATTCTTATCACACATAGAAGCGCTATGGCGTTCAACATCCAGAACTACATAACACATCTGAATTTCTATACGAAGCTATTGCTTAATATTATCACAGCCTAAGGATAGACAGGTGGGTATGATGACCTCTTCCCGCAATATTGGCCTGGCTAGTTTCATTCAAGTTGGTTAGGCCGGTCCTTGGCAGAGTGTTGTGGCTTTGGAAAGAGTAGCTGAACTGCAACATTATTGATAAATACCGCGCTCCAACCTTTCCTCTTTTGTATATACAAATGTGAGATGTGCACACATAACTCTGCATGTAGCAAGAGAAAGACAGTCGATAATCTGTTCATACGGAGACCGGGGAGTGATTGTAAGACAACCATCCCATTAGTATAAAGGATGCCACGGTCGCTGGGATAAAGGTCTACTTCGCTTTGAGCCTTCATCCTACATAAACACCCATTTCACAACTGCCTTCTTCTTTCAGGTTCTTCTATTATGGCCCAGCTTATCGTTCGATGGGAAGGTGGTACGGAGTGGTGGCTTGATGGTCCATATGGCTCTGCCCAGTTCCTTACCGAAGCAGCCGTCAATACTTTTGCCGAAGCCATGGCTGGAGGGCCTGACGCCTTGTCTGGTTATCTCCTCTCCGGCGAAGCCTTTTCAGGTATCGTTAGTGGTGACTTTGAAGCCGTAGACCTGTTCTTGGAGCTGTGGCCTCAGGCAACAAATGAGCTCCTGGTTACTGGTAGACTTGGTTCATTCCTGGCAGAGAGTGAGGGTGTAGCTAGCCTTCTTGACTGTCTCGTTGAAGCAGGTGAATGGCTACTCAAAATTTTCGTCGTCTCAGGTAAGTCCGTATCACGAGCCAATTTGCACCATTACTGACATCCTTTGTACCAAAGCCAAGGACTCGGGCGACGCACCTCGGCGCGATAAGATGCTGCCGAAGAACGATGCCCTGAAAACGCTGGTAGATGGTTAGTCCCAAACCGCCTTTGATATTCATACCTCGCTAGTAGTCATGCTTATAAACAAATTAGATCCAAAGTTGCGTACTACTGCTCTCCAGGCTCTTAAAGAGCAGAAGGCCAACCCAGAAAAGCGCCTTTCGCTTAAGAAGAATCAGCAAATCTCGACAGCGACAGCAAACCCAGATTACAATGTCACCTTCTGGAATCAATCCGGGGGCGATCTTCTGAGCTTGCATAGTTCTGACCTTTGGCCTTCGACTATCATGTTTATTGTTACAAAGCCCGGCAAGGAGTTCAAAATCGGCACTCAAACTCTTGCCTGGTCGTGGCTTATGAGCGGTTGGGCTCAAGGTGAGATGGATGGGTACTGTATCTGGAATACACCACGCGGCTCATGGTTTGGTGTTAATATTCACGTACCTGTCCAAGTGCTTGGTATAGGTACTGCTCCTTACTACCAAGTTGCCTGGTCTGAGAACGGCAAAAATGAGTGGCATACCCCCGTCACCCCGTGGATGATCCCGCGACTCCATTTACATTCCCCAAGACGCTTGGCTATGAGATTGAGATCAAAACTCAGTGTGGGCATGCTTCTATCGTTGCAAACGTATTTGTCAAAAAGCTTCTCAAATAGGCCGATGATTAGGCTCCGGGGTAGTGTGGGAAAGACTAGAGCATGCTCCTTTTGGTTCGCTGTCCAGGAGATTCGTGCACCCGCTTCAAACCCTTGGGGCTTGTGTACATTCAAACCATCACTCAACAGAAATGGCTATTGTTTAATGGGCCAATCCTTCTACCGAAGTTCTGAATCAGATTTATTTACGTATCTTGTTACTCAATCTTACAGTAGTTCTCTAAATCCTTCCTCAATTCTTGACCACTGCCTCGGCGTGAAGAAACCAGACAACCAATAATTACCATCGAAATCTCTCGTGTGAATGTTGACAAAGTTCCTCATTGTAATTCCAGGATTGAGGGATGAAGCATAGTGATGAACCGGCCGGCCTGTTAGGTTCTTCCTCTGTGTGTCTTTACCAGCTTGCATCACAGCTGGTCCAAAGTCTGCAGCTGTGAAGAGATCGACCTTCAACCTGTTATTGGTAACTAAAAGTTGACTACCAGGCCCAGCGAAGATTGGCGCTCTTGTTTTGCCGTCATCCCAGCGTTTACGAAAGAGCTGAAGAATGCCAATCAAATTCGACTCATCTAGTTGTTGCAGCAAGCCTTGGCGACTCACAAGTGCTTGATTTCCCAATGGCCTGCGGAGGTCGTCTGGTGCGATGTTGACGAAGGATCCTAGAATCATGTTTTGAACGTAAACGCCATCCGTATTCTGAAGTTGAGATAATCGGGTTCGTGCGTCGATCGGAGTTGTCATGCTGATTGAACGGGGTGTTTTGGATGAACTGACCAGGGCGCGAGAGAGCCAGGCTAAGATGGCATCACTTGGACTGACCCATGGATCGTCCTGAACAGAGTTGTCTCCTTTGATGTCCTCTAGCGCTCGCTGATGTAGTCTGTCTACCACGCTTTTCGGGAGGCAGATGATGCGGCTTTCAACGATCGGCTGGGTCAATATGATCCAGAGCATACGCATAACGAACAGTATGAACGCTATACCGGAAAGGATCCTAGCTTCACTAGCTGCATACTGCGGTCCAGCATGAGTTATTTTTCCTAGGTCGTAAAGAACATCATCCTGTGCACCGATAATTTTAGGGACACGTTCGTTATGACCCGCGAGTACCGCTGACCAAGCTTGGATCAAGTGAGAGAACCCAACTGCGTCGAAGAGAACATGTGGCCATGTAACAGTGACAAGTGTCGCGTCTAGAAAGGTGATGATGTGAAGACCTATCATGGGAATATCTTGACTCGTATAATCCTTCAGTGATGTGGGTGCGCCGGATGGTATACCAAAATCTCGAGATCCCGATGCTCCCTGAAAGGTTGAAGGTCGACTAGTCGCTTTTGGAAATAGCTTTGCCACATTCTGCACTTCGATGCTGATATCATAATGTTGGTGCGAGTAAGACACAGCGAGCCTTTCAGTTGTGTGACGAGTCGGAACGTGAACCTCGAGAGCTCCTCGTTTGTTATGCCCGTATCTCAATCTTCCACCAAACTTTTCCCAATCGCCAATATTAAGTAATTCCGATAGCGATTGGTGAAGTTTATCGGCGTTCAATACATCGTTGAAGCGCATGGTCCACGCCATGACGAGAAACTTCAGAACGGACACATTGTCTATCATATGCCTATTGTGTTAAAGTTAAAGTATATTTTCTAACCTTGTAATTGACTTATAAACTTAACTCCGCCACTACCTACTAATTGCCCTAAACCCTCTTCCTTAATCGCACTAATATATATATTATTATAAAACTTTCTTTAG